GCCTGGGCCATCTACAAGGGCAAGTACCGGGAAGGGCTGGATCAGGCCGACCCCTCCGTCTGGAAGACGCGCCTCCGCTGCGCCCTCAACAAAAGCCTGGACTTTAAAGAGGTGCCCGAGAGAAGCAACCTGGAGGCCTCGGAGCCCTACAAGGTCTACCAGGTGATCAGCCCCGAGGCGGCCCCAGACACAGGTAGGACAAAGCCGGGGAGGGGGGGCTTGAGAAGGGACCCCTCAGCCCACTCTAAGGGTCCCCCAGCAGGAGGAGGGTTTGAAGGCCACTGGGGGGGCCTCCAAGCGTCTCCCTCCCTGGGGGGGGTCTTGAAGTCTGCCAGGCAGGAAGGATTTGCAGTTGACTCCCCCAATCCCCCCCCCACAGGCACTTCAAAGGGTGAATCTGGAAAACTGGAGCTTAGCTTGGTTTTGAGGGGTGGGGGGGCGCTTCCAAGAGATTGCTGGGCAATGCAGAAAAATAGCGGGGGGGGGCACCAAAAGGGACTTTGGTGACATCTGATAGGAACAAAACTATATTAATTGGTTGTGACTTGTTCCCCATGCATGCATCCCCCCCCTTTCTCTTTCTCTCATATCTATGTCTATCTATCATATATCTATTTATGTCTATCATATACAGTACCTATCTATGTCTGTCTATATCATATATCTATCTGTATCTGTTTATCATATACCTATCTATGTCTGCCTATCTATGTCTGTCTATATATCTATATGTCTATCTATTGTATACCTATCTGTGTCTATCTATATCATATACCTATGTGTCTATCTATCATATACTATCTATGTCTGTCTATCTATCATATATCTATTTGTGTCTATCTATATCTATCATATACCTATGTCTGCCTATGTCTGTCTTATATCTATATGTCTATCAATCTATCATATACCTATCTATGTCTATCTATTGTCTATCTATCATATAGCTATGTCTGTCTATCTATCATATACCTATCTATGTCTGTCTATGTCAGGGGTAGGCAACCTTGGCTCTTTTATGACTCGTGGATTTCAACTCCCAGAATTCCTGAGCCAGCCATGCTGAGGGGACAGGGAGAAGTTTCCAAGCTGAGCCATGCTGGCTCAGGAATTCTGGGAGTTGAAGTCCACCAGTCATGAGGGGACCGAAGTTTCCCCATGCTGGCTCAGGAATTCTGGAAGTTGAAGTCCACGAGTCATAAAAGAGCCAAGGTTGCCTACCCCTGGTCTATGTCTATCTATTATATCCATGTCTGTCTGTCTGTCTGTCTGTCTGTCTGTCTGTCTGTCTGTCTCTCTCTCTCTCTCTCTCTCTCTCTCTCTCTCTCTCTCTCTCTCTCTCATCTATCTATCTATCTATCTATCATCTATCTATCTATCTATCTATCTATCTATCTATCTATCTATCTATCTATCTATCTATCTATCTATCTATCTATCATCTATCTATCTATCTAGGTGTTTGATCACTGCAAGTTTTCAAGAAAAGACTG